TGTGGGGGTCAGCCAGCTTCTTCCAGCGCTACCTGCTGCCCCCATGTCCTGCATGTTCTCCAGCACCTCCATCGAGGGCCGCGACCACCCACACCGGGTGAAGAGCGGGGAAGCTCGACTCCACTGCCCGCTCTAGAAATAGGAGATGTGGTTGCACACGTTGCAAATTGTGGTGTCGGAATACAGCTGGAACCCCGAGGACCACATGCCCCACAGAGACTCCGTCAGCTCCTGGAAAATGTACAGCCATGGGAACGCTCTGTTCTGCAGGGTTGTCTCCACCTCAAAGACTCACACCTCTGCAGGTCACCATGAGGTACTGGGGGATCAATCTGAAGAATTTTACCATGTCCTGAAGGTCATTGCTGAAAGGAAGCTCCTCATCCAGGAGGAGGGATTGGAGGGAGTCCCCCAGCAGGCCCTTTCGATTTGGCCACGTGGTGGAGGTGCTGGGGTCTGTGATCAAGCACCTCAACTTCCAGACAGTGAACACCAGCACACTCTTGCTGTGGCCAGAGAAGCTCCTGTGGCAGGTGGAAGAGGCCATCGCTGCAGACACATCCTTTCAGCACCTGCGGAAGACCGGACACCCTGGAGGCCCTAACCAGGAGGCAGCCTCCCTGCTCCAGGGCCCTTGCAGAAATAAAGCTGCTCGTCACCCCTGTGGCCTGGGACACACCCCCTGCTAAGCCATGTGGTCTGGGCGTCCCCAAGAGCGGCTCCTCCTGTGAGGATATGATGGGATCCTGGCTGCCCATTTCTCAGTTCCCTGTTCTGGGGTGAGGCCCAGCAAAGATGGGGACTCTGTATCCACTGAGAGGGTGCCCCAGAGCAGCGTGTTGGTCCACCTGACCTGCAACACGCCTGCTGGGGACGAGGAGCCAGGTGGTGGTATCGTGGAGGCTGGGTTTCCTTAGATTCTCCCAGCGTCTCCTCAGGGAAAGGCCAGGACACCTGAGACAATGGGACTGGTCTGCCTGCCTCTGAGGCTCCTCTGTGTGGCCTAGCCCTGTCCCCTCATAACATGCTTACATGCAGCCATCCCAATGCTCCTCCACCTCTGGCTTTGTCTCCGCGGGGGCCAGGGCTACAGCGAGGCAAGGAGGAGTTGGGCACGTCACCGCAGCTCCACAGCAGGCATGTTCAGCAGGGCCTACTTCACCCACGTCTGGAGGCAGGGGATCTGGGAGTGGACAGACACCCTCCAGTGACTGTGGCCAGAGGGGGGACAATAGTGCGCCAGCAGAAAGGGGCTCTTGGTGTCAAAAGAAGAATTTAAGGTGAAGGGATAATTTAAAATACAAGTACTTTCAAGTCATTTGTTGGCTGAGTGATGAAAGCACCTCCCTGGTTAAGAGCATTATCCCAGAGAGTCCTCACAAAACATCTCCATGGTAGAGATGGGAACACAGCTTAGTGACGTGAAGAGGCAGCTCAAGGTCACACAAGTCAGACCTAGAACTTTCCAGCACTAGGCCTGCATGGTCTTCCCTCTACTCCTGACCTGGGGAGGAGTCTGGGGACCCTTGACTCTCCCCAGTTTGGAGAGAATTTATAGACACACCTGACGAGAGCCCTTTTGGTCTCTTAAGTCAGACATTTATCTTTCTTCCCTTAAAAAAAAAAAGAAAAAGAATGTGGGGTCCTGAAAGCCAAGTGAAAAAAGCATATTAAATTTAAAAAAAAAATTTTTTTTAAAGCATATTAAGCGGGAGGGAGTGTCAAATGCTATTCATAGTCAAGTAGGATTAGGGTGGAAAATTTCTCATTGGTTTTAGCAACATGGATGTCTTTGGTGACCTTGAAAAAAGCTGTTTTGGTGCAGTGATGGAGGGGATAATCTGATTGGAATGGATCCAGGAGAAAGATGAGAAGTGAAGTCAGTAAGTCTAGAAAATTCTTTCAAGGAGTTTTGTTATGAAGAAACAAGGAACCTACACTGATGCGTTTTTATCACCCAATGTCCACAGTTGACATTACAATTTATTCTTGGTGTTGTACATTCTGTGGGTTTTGACAAATGTATCATGACATGTTTGCATTATTATACTATTGGAGTGAGCAGGACTGAAGCCATGTTGGGACCTAAAACCAGATGGGCTCCAAAAGATTTTTAAAGGACACAGTTTTTTTCCTGGCATGTACTGCTCTGAGTTCCCTCTTTTCCTATGGTTATTTGATATTTTGAACCTTATGTCAGATAACCAAGATGACATTATTTACATGAATGTAAAGTTGTTTTCCATCCAGCCTGGAGCTGCAGACTTCCACGTAATATCCAGATCCTCGGGTAAGAGCAAGGATGGGAGCAGAAACTAGACAACAGGCGAGACTTTGCAGTTGAGACCTTGCACGAAGCCCTCGTGACTCACATCCGCATCCCTCTTGCGTTTCTTTTTTTTTTTTTTTTTTTAAAGATGACCGGTAAGGGGATCTCAACCCTTGGCTTGGTGTTGTCAGCACCACGCTCAGCCAGTGAGCAAACCGGCCATCCCTATATAGGATCCGAACCCATGGCCTTGGCGTTATCAGCACCGCACTCTCCCGAGTGAGCCACGGGCCGGCCCCCTCTTGCGTTTCAATTCCCACATTCTAGTCCTCAGTCCATTCTTTAAAAACCCCTTGGTAAATCTGAGTTTGGGAGATGGCTTTAGTCTGGCCATTCTCCTTCAGGTTTACCAGAGACATGCGTTAGGCTGACATCTCTCCTCAGGTCACCAGTATTCCTGAATAAAAGCTGACTTCCATTTTCATCAACATTTGACCTTTGAGTGGTTTGCTTTCGAAAGGGAACAGGCAGGGGATGGCCTGGCCCATGGCTCACTTGGGAGAGCGTGGTACTGACAACACCAAGTCAAGGGTTAGGATCCCCTTACCGGTCATCTTTTAAAAAAAGAAAGAAAGGGAACAGGCAGCCAGACCTGTGCCTTGTATCAAATTTTGGCAAGCCAGGCCAGGAACTGAGCGGCCCCAGTATCGACAGAGTCACACCAAGTAGTTTCAATGCCCTAAAAATTTCCTTTGCTCCACCTAAACTCCCCCTTCCTTTTCAAACACACAGAAAAGTTTGAAGAAATGTACAGTGAACACCTACGCTATAGTCTGAATGTGTCCCTCAAAATTCATGTGTTGGAAACTTAATCTCCAAGGCAACAGTGCTTTGCTTTGTGGAATGAATATTAATATTATTAAATTATAAAGCACAAAATTCTCATCCCGTCCTCTGACCCCACTCTGATCTTGTCCATCCTCGTCTCCTACCTGGTCCATTGCAGCAGGCCCCTCCTTGTCTACCTGCTGTCACCCTTACTCCCTCAATCTGTTCCCCATATGCAGCCAGTGTGACCCCTTATCCGATCACATTCTTTCTCTGTTTAGAACCCTTCCACGGCTCCATCACATTCAGGGTAAAAGCCAAAGTCCTCACCATTGAACCTCACCATGACCCACAAGGCCCCACACAGTCTGCCCTCCCTTCCCTTATCTCCTCCCAACTCTCCCCCTTGCTCACTCTACTCTAACCACACTTCTGAGTTTCCCCGACCCTCCATATCTTTCCTGATTCAGGGCCTTTGCACCTACAGTTCTCCCTGCCTGGAACTCTCTTCCCCCAGATAGATGCATGCCTCACTCCTCACCTTCTTTAGCGCTTGACTCAAAAGTCACCTGCTGCAATCCTTAATCACCCTATAAAAAATATCACACACACACACACCTCACAATCCCTATTCCCCTTCCCTGATGTTATTTTCTCCAAAGCACTTATTGCCTTCAAATATTCAGCTATTTTATTAACTGGTTTGGTGTCTGTATCTGCCATTAAAAGATGAGCTACAGGAGGATGGGGATTTTTATGTCTTGTTTACTGCTGTATTCAGTACAGTAAATGTTTTTGAATATATGAATGGGAGCCCAGAGTAGGCCCCTATTCTTGGGGGTGGAAATGGATTAAGGAAGGCTTTTTGGATGTAGACAGGGCCTTAGGGAGTTAGCTAGGAATAGAGAAGAGGGGCAGCGGGCACAGCCCGTGCGAAGGCCTGGGCATGATCTCTGATCACTGGCCTCACACACGTTAAGGCGAAACGGGAAGGAAGCGGAGGGAGCGAGCGCGGAGAGCTGGGGGAGGAGGCGGCGTCTCCACAGGCTCAGGAATCCCCGCCCACACGCGCACACCCAGAGCCCGGCGCGAGGCTGTAAACCGCGGGCGGGGCTACGTGCTTGCGACACGGGCCACACGTCGCCGCGCGCCTGCGCTCCTTTCCACGTGCGAAAGCCCCGGACTCGTGGAGTTAGGACGCCGCAGACTCCAGAGTAGCGTAGCTCAGTGCTCGCCATGAAGCCAGGTGCAGACCGGGCTTGGGGTTTGGGTCAGCGACTGGGTCCGGGAATCGGGTGCCAGCCTGGAATCGGAGGGGCGGGGCCTTGGCTTGGGGGCAGGGATTCCGAGCCCGGGATCGGGTCTCCCTGCGATCGATCCCAAGCCCAGAGGGTCTGGGGGATTGTGACTGGCTAAGGAGGTCACGGTCGTGAGTCAAGGGCCTTGGGCCTGGGATTGGGGGTCTTGCCCTGGGATTTGTCTCATGGAGGCCGTCACTAGATGTTTGGGATATTGGGCCGGGGGCGGCGCTCGAGGGTCCTGACCGAGTCTGGATTCAGGCGTCTGGGGTCGTGGTTCTCTGCGTGGGTTTTAGAAATCTCACTAGGGTCGGAGATGGAGAGTCCTGATCTTGCGTCCGGGAGCTAGGTCTGGGAAGCTCCCCGTTTGCCTCCCCTGTCGCCACCGCCACTATCATCCTCTTGACCCCCAACTCAGCTTCTCGATGTGGGCCGGAGTGGACGAGGACTCCCTGCTTGGTAGTTTGTGGCCCTTTCTGGTCTACTTTCCCGCTGTCTGCACTTCCGGGGGACGCGTCCCCAGGGATGGAGTGGGATTAGGGTCTAGGATTCCCAATTCTGGGGTGAGACGAAACTTCACAAGCCCGGCATTAGCGGGGGTAGGGGGTAGTTGCAGAATATGAGTGGTTTTATTTATTCGATATCCCCCGAGGTTCTGAAGAACCAACCTCACCCCCTTCATTGTGGAATGATGAGAATCCTGGCTTTGACAGAAGAAGCGCCTTAGTCCATCGTTTTAGTTCTGGCTCAGCTTCGTAGCCTACTGTGTGACCTTAGGCAAGTGGCTTTACCTCTCCGAGCCTCTGTTTTCTCATCAATAAAATCGCGCCCAGTTAGGATTAAGTGAGATCATATTTTTAAAATAGCACAGTGCTTGACATACTACAGTATTGCTTCTAATTGTTATCTGTATCTTTCTCAAGGGGAACAAAATTAGGATCCTTCTCCCTGGTGTCTAAGTGCTCCCTAAGTCAGGCGTGTTCAAGCCCTATCCTCCCCGTGTGAGAACTTGCTTCACTGAATTTAAAGAATTTTCCACCATGGCCAAAAGGGCCTGTTTCCCAAGTACAGGTTTTCTTTTTTCCCTCCGTCTCCTCCTACTTCTGTGTGTGTATGCGAAGAGATGGGGGTCACCTGGGAGTGGCATTTGTGGATCCATGCCTTTGTCTCATCTCGTCATAAGCTCCCTTTCTCTTCAATGTTTGGGGATCTCTTGATGAAGTGGGGTGGGGAGTGCTAGGCTGTGTATGTCTCCCACTGAGACCCTGCCATGTCTACAGGCATCTTGTGGTCTGTGATTCCCCCAGGAATGGAGGATACACCGTCCTTCCAACCTTCCTGCACTGCGTAGTAGAGTGTGAAGTTGTAGAAGTTGTCGGGAGTCAGCTCCTCAGTAAGGATTTTAGTCTGAGAGAGAGGAAGACTTTGAGAGATTTGGGGCCAGGGCATGATGCAGTCTGATTGACATTTTTAAAAGGGATGTTTTTTCTTCTGTGTATAAAAGACTTTAGGGTTGCATATGTAGAAGCAGGCACATTAGTGGAAGTTTGTTGCTGCAGCCTAGGAGATGGTGTGGCTTGGACCAGGGTGGTCACAGTGGATGTGCTGACAAATTGTCATGATTTGGGAATATATTTTGAAGAAAGAGCCAAGGAAGAGGAGTCAAGGATAAATAAGGATTTTGGGGTGTAACTGGAAGGATGGAGTTACCTTTTTTTTTTTTTTTTTTTTTTTAAGATGCCCGGTAAGGGGATCCTAACCCTTGACTTGGTGTTGTCAGCACCACGCTCTCCCAAGTGAGCCACGGGCCAGCCCTTGGAGTTACCATTTTTGAGATGGAGAAGGCTATGACAGGAGAGCAGATTTTAAATCAGGGGGTCTATGGAGCCCCTCACCCAAACTTGCCCAGAAAAGTATGTGTGAACATGTGTTTTTTTTTTTTTTAAAGATGACCGGTAAGGGGATCTTAACCCTTGACTTGGTGTT